AAATCTATATACTCAGCTTAAAAAACTCATCGCATGGACGAGTTTAAGAAAATTTGTTAACCCAACTTATAAAATTCCATCTCCACGAGTCAAAAAAATCACATCCCTCATCTATCGTAACAACTTTAAACGTAAATAAATAAAACTCTAATTACTACTATAAATCCATTATCTATATAGATTTTTTAAAAATCTAAATTTCACATGTCTAATTACTAATATTTTAGATACTTTAAAATATTAGTTGTATAATTTTTTTACACATTTGCTCTCTCTATATATATACATATATGGAGGTTAAATGAAGAACTTTTAGACATATTTTCCTTACGGGTAGTTTAGAAAAATTTAGGTAGCTTCAAACATTATTTGTGAATGATATGGAATATTTTAGATGCTTTTATAGATGTTATAAAATATTTTAAGTATTTTTAATATTTATATATCACACTTAAAAAGAATATTTTGCCAAAAAAAAAAAACATTAAATACACATTGTAAATGTTAATAGAAACAATCTTCAGTATTCATCTTTGATTTTTTCAAAACAAATCTCATAAAATCAGTGAAGTCAAAATTTGTACGTAAAGTCTATCTATACTAAAAAAGGTAGATTCAAAATTTTTTATCTAATTTCTTCTTTTCCTTATCTAATTTCTTCTTATTATCTAATTGTAAAGAAATTTGTTCTGATTTTGTTCAATCATCTAATTGTATTTGTATCATATCCCATAAAATGGGTTTAACAAAAAAAACCCCATAACATCCGATAAGTAAAAAAAAGTACGTAAAATTTTTACTAAAATAAAAAAGGCTTTATTTATTATCTAATTGTATAGAAATCTGATATGATTTTATAGTACGTACTACAAATTGTGCACCCGTGTTCAGGAGCTACTTAACGGGCAAACTATGTGGAAATAACTCATTTAGTGCTTCTGTCCCGTGCATACGGTATGTATTTGTATTACACATACTAGAAAATTGTGCACCCTGTGCATCACACGGACTCTGTACTAATAAATAGCCTTAAAATTGTGCACCCCGTGCATCACCCGTGTTCACATTTGGCCTATTACAGGTCACGTAATATATATATCCCGTATATTTTTCTTTATTCATTTATATAATTATAAGACTTGACAAATAACCTTAATTTTGTGCACCCCGTGCATCGCACGGGATTTGTACTAGTATGTAATAATAAGGCCATTTGATCCAACCTCTCTCAATATATATTGCCACACCACAACCACAAGTCTTAGCTACATTTTTGAGACACTTTCGTCTTCCAAATTCCAATCAGATTTCATCGGTGCCTACAATTTTCTATTTTTCTTTTTTCTCATTTCAATAATTAATTTCATATTTGATAGATTATGGCAATGAGTCTGCCCCACCAGATCGGAGCGATCTCCGGTTCGCCGTTGACCGCCGACGTTGGCGGAGTCTCCGGCGACGCGCAATCGTCCACAACCGTCAGCGCGGTGTGGAGAGCTCCAGCAGCGGCGAACCTGCGTGTCTCCGTGAGGAAATCCGGTGCGGAGAATGACCGCGTGTCTCCATCCCCGCCGTTGAGCCCCGTCCGCGGCGGAGTACGGCCAGACCTGTCGGTGGCAGCGCAGGCCCTGATGTCGGCTCCTGTCACCGCGGATGTTGCGCTGGAGAGGGATTACGTCCTGGGCGCGCGGGGTAAGGAGGGCAGAAATGGGGTTCCCGTGTACGTCATGATGCCCCTCGACAGCGTGACCTGGAATCACACGCTGAATAGGAAAAAGGCGATGAACGCGAGCTTGCAGGCGTTGAGGAGCGCGGGCGTGGAGGGGATAATGATGGATGTATGGTGGGGGTTAGTGGAGGGGGAGAAACCCGGGGAGTACAATTGGGGCGGGTATTCGGACCTCCTTGAGATGGCGAAGAAGCACGGCCTGAAAGTGCAGGCCGTCATGTCCTTTCACCAGTGCGGAGGAAATGTTGGAGATTCCTGCACGTAAGTTAATTTGAATTCTATTTTCTTTTTCCCCTTCTTTATCCTTAATAAAAAGATCTGAGCTGAAGGCCTTTGAAATTTCGTGGGGCAGACTTGGGCGTTAATTTTGATGTTTTAGAGTAGGTCTTGGGACTCTTTGTAGTTGCTATTGCTTAAAATTTCTCATAAGATCTAGAATCTGTCAAGTGAACAAACATGTCTATGCAAAAGCAAAGTGAGTGGGTGTGGAATGTAGTGAATTGACCTCTCTAAAGTGATAAAAGGAGAATCCTAAATCATGCATATGCTCTCCTTTAGGCTGATGAATTTTAGAGACAAATTCTTTTCTTAAACTTGCGGCGATCAATGTGTAATGATCCTATCAGTAATCTTCTATTCAAGTTGGTTATGCATATCTTTCCTCATGGTGGTGTGCAATGTGTAGTCCCATCCAAAAGAACTAAACTACACTGGAATACACCTTTTCGAAAGGGAGGACAGTTGATACCATCTCTGAAGATACTGCCCAATATAATGGACATATGCTTGTCTAAAGAACTGAATATCAGCAACACTATCTTTTTATTTCTTCTTGCTTTGATGACGAAATTTGCAATAAAACACCCATTAATGAGTTTCAAGGTGGTATCTTTCATTGAATCGTCTTTCTTACCTGCATTTCAATTTCAATTTGATTCAGAATTCCTCTTCCCAAATGGGTTGTGGAGGAGATTGACAGAGATCCCGATCTTGCCTATACAGACCAGTGGGGTCGGAGGAATTATGAATACTTGTCACTCGGTTGTGATACCCTCCCGGTACTCAAAGGAAGGAGTCCGATCCAGTGTTATTCTGATTTCATGCGTGCTTTCAGGGACACATTTAGGCATCTTTTGGGCGACACCGTTGTGGTAAGTGAGGATGATACTTTTTTGGGTAATGTTTTGGTTGCATGTGATATCACTGACCATGTATTTCTTATCTCAATATCTAGGAAATTCAAGTTGGAATGGGTCCAGCAGGAGAGCTTCGCTATCCATCTTACCCAGAGCAAAATGGGACATGGAAGTTTCCTGGGATTGGAGCTTTTCAATGTTATGACAAGGTAATGTAACTTCAAATGCTCATCCCCTTGAAATTGGGCATAAGTGAGTGGGTAATGTATGTAAACAAATACTGTTATGTTCTATCAACTACATTCATGAAAAAAAAAATCATTTTATTGGTCAATTAATTGTATATTTTCTTAAATGACTTTTATATGAATTGTCATCATTTTACTATTTCTTTACCTATTAAGAAATGAATATAATGGCAATATAGAACATTGAAGTTTGAATGAATAATCAAACTTCATAGAAACATAAAAAAAGAAAATCAATAAATGACTCTTAATTTGTGTGAAAAACCTAAGATGACAAACAGAACAAAAGGATGGGAATATGAAGGGAACTTTTTGTGATTTCACAAGGTTATGCTTATATGCCACTTGTATTTAGTTCCTCCGTATTTTGTTAAAGCTTACCTCCATTGTTGCAGTATATGATAAGCAGCCTTAGAGCAGCGGCTGAGGCCATTGACAAGCCTGAATGGGGCCACACGGGTCCAACTGATGCCGGCCACTACAACAACTGGCCTGAGGACACCAACTTCTTCCGGAAGGAGGGCGGCGGGTGGGACGGCCCGTACGGCAAATTCTTCCTCT